CCCGGCTATTTTTTGGTTGCAGCCGTCATTGTTTGGCGGGTCCGGGCTGGGAATTCGAACCCGCCACCTTAGGTGTATGTGGCTGGTGCCTTAGCCCTTTGAGCTATAGGCGCCAAGCCGACTTTGGGATTCTTAATGGTAGCCCTGGTTTTAAGGCCTACCAGATCCACCATTGGAAAAGAAAATTGTGGTGAAGGAAAGACTTATAAGAAAATGCCTGTATTTACTCCTCTTTCTCTAATTCTACCAAAAGGCATAATCCTTTATCTAATGGAACTTCGCTTTTAGTTCCCCTCTCCTGAAGTTGCAGAACACAATGTTGGAAGCTTGTATATTAGTCTTTTGCTTCTTTGTCATGCTCGTCTTCATATGTAGGTATTTTAATTTTCCATTCCAACTCCCTATTAGTCCACGACTTTCAAAATGCTAAGAAGATAAGTCCTTGGAACGCGATGTTATTTCACGCTTTGCTGCCTGCACGAGCAGTGAATTGAGTGCTTTGATCTGAACAGTTAGAAATGTAGAAAGTTCCCAAAGTTTCTCTAAAGTCTGAGGTAGGGAGATGGGGTGGCATAGGGCAAATCTCAGCTTGCCCCTTCCTTCCTTCCTTATTATAGACTGTCTCCTGTGGAAAACTCAATCTTTGTGGCAGTGATTTTAGGCTAAAAAAGATGTAGGTTCTGAACTCAGAGGTATTGGCCTTTTTATGACCCAGTCCTATTCTTGCTTTCGAAGTAGATACTCATGAATATGTATTAGCTGGACTTGTCCGGCAAAAGAGCTTCAGGCTCAGGTTATAGTTGGTGAGAAAGAATAGTAAATTATAAAGATAGGGAAATGTACTCAATTCCTTTTCCTCTTCACTTGAATCAGTTAAAAGCATTGCAAATGAAATTAACAAATCCTAATGGAGCCAAGTGTAAAGATTTTAAATAAGTCAACCATCCAAACGTAGATCATATAGAATGAATATATATGAAAAAGTGTTTTTTATGTAATTTTTGAATGCACAGTGCTATTTATCAAGTACACAATTTACATGCTTTTCATTGTCTGGGTGGTACTTACCCATGACAGTTGAGTAACAGGAAAAGGGAAAAGAGAAAGCATTTTTTTTTTTTTTTTGAGACAGAGTCTCACCATATTGTAGAGCGCAATGGTGTCACAGCTCACGGCAACCTCAAACTCTTGGGCTTAAGGGATTCTTTTGCCTCCGCCTCCTGAGTAGCTGGGACTACAGGCGCCCCCCACAGTGCCTGGCTATTTTTTTTGTTGTTGTTGTTGTTGTTGTTGTAGTTGTCATTGTTGTTTAGCAGGCCTGGGCTGAGTGTGAACCTGCCAGCCCCATGTATGTGACTGGGGCCCTAACCACTGAGCTACCGGTGTCGAGCCAGGAAAGCACTTTTGAGGTGCTTCTTGACACAGGTGGTGGTTACATGGGTATGTTCCATTTGTAAAAATTCACCAATTATCCATTTATAATTTGCATACCTTTTTGTATGTGTGTTATACTTAAACAAAAAGTAGCAACACAGAATGGAACAAAATACAGTCTTTTCCTCCATTTCTGTGGTTCTCATTCATGTGTATAGATTCAAATTTTCATTTGACATCATTTTCCTTCTGCCTGAAGGACTTCCTTTCCCATTTCTTTTTTTTTTTTTTTTTTGAGACAGAGCCTCAAGCTGTAGCCCTGGGTAGAGTGCCGTGGCATTACAGCTCACAGCAACCTCCAACTCCTGGGCTCAAGCGAGTCTCCTGCCTCCGCCTCCCAAGTAGCTGGGACCACAGGCGCCCGCCACAACGCCCGGCTATTTTTTGGTTGCAGCCGTCATTGTTGTTTGGCGAGTCTGGGCTGGGGATTCGAACCCGCCACCTTAGGTGTACGTGGCTGGCGCCTTAGCCGGTTGAGCTATAGGCGCCGAGCCTCCTTTCCCATTTCTTGCAGTGCAAGTTTTCTGGTGATGGAATCCTTTCAGCTTGCATATCTAAAAAAGCTTTTATTTTGCCTTCATTTTTGGAAGATATTTTTTATAATACTAAGTATAGATTTATAGGTTTATTTTTATTTTTTGAGACATAGTTTCACTCTGGCACCCTGGATAGAGTGCCATGGTGTCATCGTAGCTCATAGCAAACCTCAAATTCTTGGGTTCAGGAGATCTTCCTGCTTCAGCTTCCCAAGTAGATGAGACTATAGGTGCCCACCACGATACCCAGACAGTTTTTCCATTTTTAGTAGAGATCGGGGTCTTGCTCTTGCTCAGGCTGTTCTCAAACTCTTGAGCTCAAGCAGTTCACCTGCCTCAGCCCCTAGAGAGCTAGGATTACAGGCCTGAGCCACTGTTACTGGCCCTAGATTTCTAGATTGACACTCGTTTCCTTTTAGCACTTGAAGGATGTTGCAACCACCATCCTCTTGTGTGGATTGCTTAAATCTGCTGAAACCCAAGGTTTCTTATTTGGCATGTTATGTCTTCCTCCTCTCCCACCCCACCCCCGCCCTTAAGATTTTCTTTTTAACACTGGTTTTGAGAAATTTTATTTGATATGCCTTGTGTAGTTTTCCTTATGTTTCTTGTGTTCGGGGTTCACTGAGCTTCTTGGTTCACAGTTTTTATCACATTTTGAAGGCCTTGACCAATTAATTCAATTGTTTTTCTGTTCTCTCCTCTCAAGTGACATATATTAGGTTACTTGAAGTTGTCCTCTAGCTTAATGATGCTGTAAGATTTTTTTAAAATTATCTTCTATCTGTATTCCACTGTAGGTAATTTATACCACCACATGTTCAAGTTCATTAATTTTTTCTTCTTTAATTTCTGATCAGCCATGAATCCTTTACAGTGTATTTCTTTTTTTTTTTGAGACAGAGCCTCAAGCTGTCCCCTTGGGTAGAGTACCATGGCATCACAGCTCACAGTAACCTCCAACTCCTGGGCTCAAGTGAGTCTCCTGCCTCAGCCTCCCAAGTAGCTGGGACCACAGGTGCCCGCCATAACACCCGGCTATTTTTTGGTTGCAGCCGTCATTGTTGTTTTTGGTGGGCCCAGGGCTGGATTCGAACCTGCTACCTTAGGTGTTTGTGGCTGGTGCCTTAGCCACTTGAGCCACAGGCACCGAGCTTACAGTGTATTTTTAATTCAGATATTCTCATTTTCATTTCTAAATGTTTGATTTGGGTATCTTAAAAATACAGCTTTATTCCTTATTCCTGTTTCCATATTCCATATCATGTTTTAAGGTCTTTGTTATTTCTAATATCTGTGTCAATTCTGGGTTAGCTTCAATTGATATTTCTCCACATTATGGGTCATACCTACTGGCTTCTTGGCATGTCTAATGATTTTTAGCTGGATTCCAGACATTGTAAGTTTTACCTTTGGGGAGACTGAATATTTGTTATGTTCAATATTCTTGAGCTATGTTCAAGATTGCAATCAAGTCATTTGGAAACAGTTTGATCCTTTCAGGTCTTGTTTCTAAGATTTGCTAGATAAGACCCAAACAATGCTTAATATAGGGCTATTTCCAACTTCCAGGGCAAGACCCCTGTCAGTATACTACCCACTGCCCGAGGAATTATGAGCTTTTCCTGTTTAGCTGATGGGAGCCGGCACTCTACCCAGCCCTGTTTGAGTACTAGGTACTTTTCCCTTGAATCTTTTTGAGTGGTTCTTTTCCTTGCCTAAGGACGTTACCTCCATTTGTGAATACCTGAGTACTTGAGGTGGTCCTCTGCAGATCTCTAGGTAGTTTTCTCAGTGGGGCTCTGCAGAGAGTCTTCTAAGGTACTCCTGACTTCCCTTCTACATCCCAGGGAGTCTGCTGGGCTCTCCCTGAATTTCCCCCTATGCTCATGCCCTGGAAACTCTCAAGACTGTAAGCTGGAGTAACTACAGGGCTCAAAGTTTTCTCAGGAATCACTGCCCTTCATTGCATAATGTCCAGTGTCTTGAAAACCATGATCCAGTTTTTTAGTTGTTTCAGACAGAACAGTGAAATCCAGCCCCTCTTACTCTATCATTTCCAGAACAGAATATTTAACTAGCTCTGTATGAGTTTTAAAAATGAATCTTGTTTGGGTCTGGTGGCTCACACCTGTAACTTGATGCTTCAGGAGGTCAAGGTGGATTGCTTGAGACTGAGACCAGCCTGAGCAAGAGTCAGACCTAGTCTTTACTAAAAATAGAAAAAATTATCTGGGCATGAGCATGGTGTTGTCTACCTGTAGTCCTGCCTATTTGGGAGACTGAGGCAGAGGGACTGCTGAAGCCCAGCAGTTTAAGGTTGCTGTGAGCTATGATGATGCCCCTGAAGTGTGGCTGGGGTAACAGAGCAAGGCTCTGTCTCAAAAGAAAAATAATTGAGGGAGTAGGGCACCAGCCCCACATACCGGAGGTGGTGGGTTTAAACCTGGCCCCAGCCAAAAACTGCAAAAAAAAAAAAAAAAAAAAAGTAAATAAAAATAAATTGAATGTCATTTGAGCCCAATTTATTACTTTTTATAGATATTACATAATTTTGCTCCATTCATTAAAGATGGATAAATCACATTAAAATGTTTAAGATAAACATTTCACTCTGTTTTGGAAATACACTTTCAATGTCAGTTAAACTACTACCACAAGTTTGCTTTATCAAGAATCAGGAAGTACTCTGAGATCAGTACTAGATTACAAAATGCTGTTTTGTGTAGAAGACTATATACTTTAGGGACCTGATTGAAAAATACAGTTGTCAGAATCGTCTGGCCGGATTTATTTGCTATATTGAACAACTTCATCATTTGTTGTGATGTCAGATACCAATAGCACAATTAATTTATTACTAAACACCCGTATTACCTTAGCATTTTTAATGTACTTGCTAGCTTTTGCTATAATGCTAGGAAATGCTGTAGTCATTTTAGCTTTTGTGGTGGACAAAAATCTCAGACATCGAAGTAATTATTTTCTTCTTAACTTGGCCATTTCTGACTTCTTCGTGGGTAAGTTCCATATCTTTATTTAAGATCGTAATTTCCAGTTACAATTTGTTTCTAAAACCCTAAACTTTTGTTATTTCAGGAGACTGTAGGAGGTGGGGGAAAATGAAAAACAAAAAATTTAAGTATGAAAATTTGGATGAGGGTTATATGGAACTTTAAGGGAACATTAAACATATGTAAATCAGTGTTGTTAGGGGAATTTTTATTTGAAAATAGTTTATTTATGTTTATAGAAGTAAAAATAAATCCAAAATAGTTCTAAAACTGTCCTAGTTCTAAAGTTATTTGTTTCTGTACCTGTTTTTCCATATTTGTTTAGATAGATGAGTAGAAATATTCCTCTTTAAGTAAATATAGTTTCCACAGTGTTAGAGTAATAGGAAATATATTTATGTATTTGCTGGTAACAAACACAATCAGAAAATGAGATATTCAGGTCAATTAAATAGTATGGTTAATAGTGTTATTTTATGATATGCTGCATTATATTGTAGAATGTACCCACCACTAACATTATAAGACACCATAGAAATCAAATTAACCTTTCTTTGAAAACATGTACTTTGTAACTTTCCGCTGCCCGATGGTTATCGTTTTTTAACACTGCTTATCACAGGAAGTAGACCACGGAAATGTCAGCTAGTGATGCTGTTTTATAGGAGCTTCCAGTATAATTTAATCGTACATATTCAGATTATTTTTATTTATAGCGACATAAAGCTTGCATTCATGTTAAAATGAAACAAAACTCACAGAATACTTAGTTCATTGCCTGGAACATGGTGGTTGCTCAACAGATGTCAGTCCTCCTCTTTTTTGATTTCTCTGCAGATGTGTATCCCCCAAACCCAGGTCGTGAATGTTTGTATAGTATCTATAATGTGTAAATACTGATGGGGCACAGGCACTGTGAGGCAAGCAGGGACCTTAGAAGAATAGGCTCATCTCTCCCTTCAGTAAAAGTCTCAATGTAGTAGGGTGGATAAGGGGAGTTCGCAAACGACTATAGCAGTAAAGTATAATGTGGGACCCCCATGAAAACCCAACATGTGCTATGGGCACTCAGACGAGGGATAAAGCACATCAGTTAGTGGACGGTAGCATCTGAAGTGAACTTGGAAGGATGAATAGAATTTCTGTAGGCAGAGACAGGGAGGAGAGGAGTATTCCAAGAATCAGCAAAAGTACGCTGGTAGAAAATCACTGTGCCTGTATTCTAAGGGTGAGGTTGGAGCTGGCTGGTGTGCAGATGGGTGCAGGGGAGAGTAGGGATGTAGCTGGAATCTATATAGAGAAGGCCTTTGAATACCAGTATGAGTCTGGAGTGGAATTTATTCAGCAGGTCATAGGGAGATTTAAGGATTTTATAACAGGTGAGTGGCTGGCTGGCTGGCTGGCTGGAAGCTTTACCTTTGGGGCATCAGAAGAGCCCTAGGAGGTGCGGCAGCAGGAACGTGGGGCAGGTGGTTTCAGAGACCAGCCTGCAGCAATCTAGGCATAAGTCAGGCAGTTGGCATCTGAGCTAGGGGGAAAGTGGAAAGTATGGGTGGGAGGCAGAGCTGCCGGGGGTGGGGTCTGGCGGCAGAAAGAGGAAGAGGAGTTGAAGATTGGGCTTCTGTGATTAAAATAAGTATGGCACTGTTAATAGAGATAAAGGGCGCTGGGGGAGGGCAGCTATGGTTCTGCTGTTTTGTGGACAGTTCTGGAGGAAATTTCTAGCGGGACAGATTGATTTAGGATTCATGGCATAGACATTACAGGCTCACAGATAAAGGCAGCTGAACAGTAGAGAAATATTTAAAAAATGCAGGTCTCCCCATTTCCCTCCTCAAATGCTGTCTCTCCAGGTGACCACCATTTGCTGCGTGATATAGGTCCTTCCGCATCATTCTCTCTGCTCACAAAAACATGCCCAGATACACACGTATATTATGTGAACACAGAGAAAGTTTTGCTATAAATACTCTTATCTCTTTCCCCTTGGCATAATCCTGCTGGTGTTGGATGGCAGTCTGCACCTAAAGTAGATGATGGGTTTCCACTAACCCAAAGGGAGTGAGGCCCCCACTGGCCTGTGGTAGGAAGGATGAGGTGAAACAGCGGAGAGAGGCTGGGGCCTGGAGCTCTTGAGCAAAGATGGTTCCAGATAAGAATGTCTTCACATCAGGCCCAAGGTCAGCATCAAGAGCTTGAGCACCAGGCTCTTCTTCTAGAAAGGGCCCTGCAGATGTAGTTGCTTGGCAGGCCTGGTGGTCTCCCTCCAACCGCAGATGGGTAGGGGGAGAATTTGCGTTTTTTTACTCCCAATGAGAGGAGTTGGGCGCAAGTCAGAGTCTCCATTAATCTGCCTGAGTCGGCTTTTAGGTTTCCCACCTCTGCAGTGAGCTTCATCCTGGGGTCTGTTCACTTAACACAATGTGGGCCATGATGCAAGAATTAAGACAGTCCCTGAGAGCTTTTTGTAGTAAGATGTGAGTTTTCTGCCAACACTATCTTTGTTCTTTGTCAGCCTTTCAGTTCTGTGCCTGGAGGAATGCAGGAGGCAGGGTGGGGCGGGTAGAACCCTTGAGAATTTTCAAGTAGCCTGAACAGGGATTCTTGATATTGCAGGGCTGCAGAGCCATGTGACGATGGCAGGGCAGATTAGAGCCTCTCAGACGCTCGGAACCCTGGGCTTTCTGGCTCAATGCCCTCTTCCCACTGGTGTCACAACTGGCCTCCTGTTGAGAATCTAAATTTGTGGCACCTGGGTACCTAGTTGCTCAGGGTGAATTAACTCCTGGAAAATATTTATTAGGAAAAATTCCAGTACTAGCCTACACTGGATGGTAAATAAGCAGATCTCATCTCTGCACTATTCTGAGAAAAATATACTATCTGTGTCTACATCAGTATCTATGAAACTGATGTTGCATGACCAATGTTTTCATTGGTAGGTATTTCAACCTACATGACCATGTGATAGACGCTTGGGCAGGATCTTCAGGGGCAAAAGATGGCTGGTGCCAACAGCCTGCACGAGATTTTCAGGATGGCAAAGTTTATCTTTCATACCTTCATGCCCCAGGCCGAGACTCTTCTCTCACCCTCTGGATTGGTCTGCTTGGGCTGCCATGACCAAATACTGTAGACTGGGTGGCTTAAACAACAGACATTTATTTTCTCTATTTAGTTCTAGAGGCTGAGATGTTCCCGATCAAGATTCTGGCACATTTTGATTCCTGGTGAGGGCTCTCTTTCCGACTTGCAGATGGCTGCCTTCTCATAATAGTCTCTTGTGGCATTTCTTTTTCTTTTTCTTTTTTTTTTTTTGAGACAGAGCCTCAAGCTGTCCCCCTGGGTAGAGTGTCATGGCATTACAGCTCACAGCAACCTCCAACTCCTGGGCTCAAGCGAGTCTCCTGCCTCCGCCTCCCAAGTAGCTGGGATCACAGGCGCCCACCACAACGCCCAGCTATTTTTTGGTTGCAGCCATCATTGTTGTTTGGCAGGTCCGGGCTGGGGATTCGAACCCGCCACCTTAGGTGTACGTGGCTGGCGCCTTAGCTGGTTGAGCTATAGGCGCCGAGCCTCTTGTGGCATTTCTCTGAGTGTGAGGTCTCTGTCGTCTGGTCTTATAAGAACACTATTCCTATTGGACCAGGGCCCCACCCTTATGTATGACCTCATTTACTCTCAGTTTCATCCTTAGAAGTTTTATCTCTAAATATACCACACTGGGGTTAGGGCTGTCGTGTATGAATGGGAGGAGGAAGGACAAACAGATATCTAGGACTCACCATCATCCACACTTTCCTCAGTTGGCCCAAAGAATTACCAGGGTTTTTTATCTCCCCCACCTTTTGATTATCATTTTTTTCATGGGAGGTGTAACTTCTTAGTTAGCTTAGAAAGAATGGGCGGATGGGTGGCAACTTTAAAGCAAAACCGCTTCCCCATCCTCATCTAGTCATCAAAAATGGCTTATTTTGAAGCAGGAACTCTGAGTGCTGGGGATGATAAAAATGTAGATGAAAATCCCCGCCCTCATGGTCCTTCTGTTTCTATTGGGATCAGGGATGGGGTGGGGACAGACAGTAAGCAATAGAAATAAGTAAATTAAGATTTATACAGCATTTTAGAGGGTGAAAATTGCTACCAAGAAAAATATAGCAGGGATGAGGGAGACGGAGTCACAGTTTTAGACTTTGGAGCGAGGGCTCGCTGAGAAAGACACACTGAGCAAACAGAAGGAGCTCTGGGAAAGAGCATTTTGTGCTGAGGAACAGCCAGTGGGAAGGACCTGAGGTGGGAGGGTGTCTGGTGCACTTGGTGCCCAAAGGGCTGGAGAGGGAGTGGGGCGGGACGAGGGGCGGAGGTGAGAGCTGGAGGTCCGGGAGGCGGGCCTCACCGGCCTGTCTTCTCATCTTCTTTCCCTTCCCTTCCTTCCTTCCCCAGCCCCTTCACCTCCTCCCTCCATCACCTTCTCTTCATATCGTTTCTTTTCTCTCAAATAATCCTTTCTTTAAAGGATTATTGCTCTTTTCGTGGAACTGACTCTTAGTTTTACTTTCCAAGCCCATTTGACCCAGAAGCACAATTCCAGGATAGAAGTTGCAGAAACACCTGGGGGTGGGGTGGGGTGCGTCTATCAGAGAAACAGTTCAGATTCACTCTTTTGAAGCTCCTTTGGAATGAGCCACAATCCTCTCTGTTACTCAACAAGACAGAGGGAAGAGCAAGACACATGGGTGGAAACATCACACAGACACAAGGTGACCACAGCAGCGTCTATGAAAACTAGAGCCTGTTTTAAGCTAATGGCTATCTCAGGCAGTTCCTACGGTTTCCAATGTACCCTTCCTCTTTCGAGTAACTCAGAAAGCCAGTGACAAAGTGTATTGAAGTCAATAGTATCTATAAGGCAAACCATTCTAGGCCTCTTGTTCTTTCTCCGTGGAAATAGTGAGTGCGGGTGTGAAAATATTCATGCTGGGAACACCATCAGGAACAACCGTGGGCTAACATACATGTCTCTGGTTTTGAGATATTTTAACTTACCTTGGGGGGAACCCGTTGATCAAGTTTATACCACAGGTACACGCACGCCTGTGCGCGCACCCCACAACATGTCTTCTTGACAAGACATGAATCAAACAGCTTATTTGAATTACATGTAAGAACTGACCGTGCAACTCTTCATCTGCATGGTTTCTCTCATCTGCCTGTGTAAGCCTGGCAGAGGATACTAAGTTCTGCGTTTTCTCTCACTGGTTCTGAAACCTCGCCATTACAGCCTCATGTGGTCTTGTTTGGGGATAAGGGTTTCCTTCCTCCTTTCCTTTCTTTTATCTTTACTGTTATTCTTAATTTGGTTCTCATACAAAGACGGTAATTCCTGCAAGTACTTGATAAACTATGAAGATAATCAATAAAATTAAGATTTTGTCGGAGTTTCCATTTAGTAGATCACATTCTCAGCAAGCAGTGACACCCACTGTAAATGTCAATGCAATTAAAAGCCCCTCAAAGGTAAAAGAGCTCAGTTTAGCTGTTTAGTACTAACGTATGCAGTTTTTGTGCTGGACTGAATCACTGTGGTAGAGCTTATCTCTGTTCATTCAGAGAAAAGTCATGGTTAAAGTCAGAGGTTCTGAAATCACATGGCCTGGTTTCAAGTCCGATCTTCTCTTACCAAGTTCTCTTAGAACTTGCTCTAATCATGTTTCCTTTTTGAGCTTCAGGTTCTTTAAAACTGTTACCTCACCATGGTCCCCACCTCACAAAATTTCTAGGAAGTTTAAATGAGATGACATCTGTAATGCACATAGCACGATGTCTGGCCTATGGTAATTGGACAATATCTATTAGCTGTTATTAATTTAAGTTCAATGTGCACGTCATTCATTGGACAATATCTATTGGCTGTTACTGGGGCAAAGGGTGGTCCATCCTATTTGGATTGGATCGTGAAGGTGAAGACGATTTGTGCTATGTATGGCTAGAAGTACAGTAAAGTAGTAAGGACCTGTCGAAGGTACAGCTGTCCCTTGGTATCCATGGGGAATTGGTTCCAGGCCCTGCCTTCAGTAATGGAATCTGCAGAAGCTCCAGTCCCTGATATAAACTGCCAGAGAATTTGCGTATAACCTATGCACATTCTCCTGTGTACTTAAGATCTTTTCTAGATTACTCGTAATACTTCATATAATGTAAATGTTGTGTAAATAGTTGTTATGCTGTATTGTTTAGGAAATGATGACAAGAAAAAAGACCGTACATGTTCAGTTCAAACAGTTATTTTTCCCTGAGTATTTTCTATCTGCCATTGGTTTGAATCCACAGATGCAACACACAGTTGCGAAGGGCCGACTGCACAGTGTTCACAACACTGTGAACGCTATTATAAAATGAAATGTAAAGACAAAATACCATGAATTTCTAAATTGTGATCAAACCGCTTTTAGTGAACTCAGATGTATCATCATGCTGTGTACCTGTTAGAATATGTCCCTTTGGATTCATTGATGTGTGCCTTTTTTTTTAACCCTTATTTTTTCCCTGTGCAGGTGTGATCTCCATTCCTTTGTATGTTCCTCACAAGATGTTTAACTGGGATTTTGGAAAGGAAGTCTGCATATTTTGGCTTGTTATTGACTATCTTTTGTGTACAGCGTCTGTGTATAACATTGTCCTCATCAGCTATGATCGATACCAGTCAGTCTCAAATGCTGTAAGTGAAAACATTAATGTATCTTCCTTAGAAGATTGTATAAATGTAGATTTTGGGTCCCCACGCAAACATTTTTTTTTAAGTCTAATTTTTTAATTCAATTGATACAGCTTGGAGGAGCCCTATCCTTCCGTTGTCTGGCAACCTTAGTTTGTGTGATTTGGGGAAGTCACCCCCTATGTACCACTAAACGGGATGGTGTCAAAGGAAACTCAAGGCAAGTGTCAGCAGTGGTATTACTGAATCCATAGCAGATTGAGTATACGTGAGGTTCACAGTGAGGTTCACAGTAGGCAGTGAACCTGGTTGTTCCAATCCATAGACCATTGAGACCTGAATATTTTTCTCAGAATGGAACTTGATGGGCAAGTGGAAGGAATTCCAGACTTCTGAATGTGGCAGCAAAATCACTTCTGGATGGCTGAAGGGAAAGACAGTATACAGGGAAGCTCTAGGTTTATACGGTGGGACCAGCCAGTCCTAATGCATGCTGAGAAAGTCTGAACCTACTCAAGATGTGGTGTAGTCTCATCAGTGAGTTAGTGGCAATCCTTTTTTTTTTTTTTTAATTAATTAATTAATTAAATTTAATTTATTTTTTGTGCAGTTTTTGGCGGGGGTTGGGTTTGAACTCACCACCTCCGGCATAGGGGGCTGGCGCCCTACTCCTTTGAGCCTCAGGCGCCGCCCTGGCAATTCTTAAGTAAATTTCTCAGCAACAGAATAAAACAGAAAATTAATTTGATGTCAGGATGGAGCGATGGGGTATCTGAAATCTTTAAGGCCTAGATGGGAACTTCTTTCACTCCTGAGTCTCAGGAACCCAAATCTTTGGGAGCCTACTCTGTGGCAGGTGTTTTGCTGGGTGCTGGGATGTGGAAGTGAACTGGCAAGGTCTCTATTTAGAGGAGCATAATAATCTATGTGGAGGCAGATCCAGAAACAAATGGGTGCAGTGCAATGGACTAAGAGCTATGCTGATGGCATGGAGAAGACAGTGGCAGCTCTCGTCCGAGAGGACTGTGCAGTCTGGAGGCCAACGGGATTGGGAGGGTATACTAGATAAGGCAAAATTAACTTGCTGTAACAAAGAGACTCCAAAAAATGCAGAGGCTCGAGCCACATATAAAAGTTCATTTTGCTCTCACAAAACAGTCTAGGAAAGGTGGGAATTGTCTCCCCAGGAACTTTCCCAGGGACCCCACTGAAAAGATAGCTCTCTCTGCACCCTCCAGAGCAGAAACCAGTAAGCTTTTACTGTAAAGGGCCTGACAGTAACTAGGAGGGCTGTCAGAAAGTATCCAGACATTAATATTATTTTTCATATTAATGGCTGGATACTTCCCAGACAGCCCTTATATTATTGGCTTTGCAGGACCTAATGTATCCTGTTGGAACTCAAATCTACCATTGTAGCACAAAACAGCCACGGATGATATGTTAAAAAATGTACTTGGCTGTGTTTCAATAAAACTTTATTTATTCAAATAAGTGGTGGGCTGCATTTTTTTCATGGGCAGTAGTTTGCTGGATTCTGCTTTAGGCTGTTATCCTTTACTGCATGGTTAAGGTGAGGTTCTTGTCACACCAGATTCTAGACAGGAAGGGGAAAAGACAGAAGTTCAGAGCAAGGGATTTTTTTTTTTAACCAAGTAGTGCAGAATCATATAATCACTTTCACTCACAATTTACTGGTGAAGCTTAGTCACATGGTTTCATATCCCTGCCAGGCAAGCTGGGAAAAGTGGTGTCAACTGAACTACCATACGGCCAGGAAGAAGCAGGGAAGAACAGGTGTGGTGGGGCAACCAGCTATCTCCACCACTTGGCAGTGGGTCCTTCCTTGGCACCAGGGTCTACTGTAGTTTGTATTGGTCAAACTATGAGAAAGTACAGATCAATATCAATGTGGATTAGCAATTCAGATGCCTATAATCTTGTATTTTTCAAACTGCAAATCTCAGTGCATTATTGAATCACATAATTAATTAAGGGGTTGTGAACAGTTGCTTTAAGAAATATGAAATGGAACAGAATAAAAAAAATTAGAGTAGAAAATATATGAGTACCTTGCATATAATCAAAGTATTGTTTTATGAATACTTCTGTCTGTATTCCTGGTTATGACATAAAATAAATTTCTTACTTTAGGTCACAATTGAATGTTTGAAAAGCAGTGCTCCAATTCAGAATCTTTTCCACTTGTACTTTATTTATTTATTTATTTATTTATTTTGAGACGGAGCCTCAAGCCATCCCCCTGGGTAGAGTGCCATGGCCTCACAGCTCACAGCAACCTCCAACTCCTGGGCTTAAGCGAGTCTCCTGCCTCAGCCTCCCAAGTAGCTGGGACTACAGGCGCCAGCCACAGCGCCAACCATTTTTTGGTTGCAACCATCATTGTTGTTTGGCGGGTCTGGGCTGGGGATTTGAACCCGCCACCTTAGGTGTACATGGCTGGCGCCTTAGCCGATTGAGCCACAGGCGCTGAGCCTCCACTTGTACTTTAAAGCTTTCCTTTCTGGCGCAACACCCGTAGCTCAGTGAGTAGCAGGCCAGCCAAGGGTGGTGAGTTGGAGCCCGGCTTGGGCCTGCTAGACAATGACAGCTGCAACCAAAAAAATGGCCAGGTGTTGTGGCAGGCACCTATGGTCCCAGCTACCCAGGAGGCTGAGGCAAGAGAATCATTTGAGCCCAAGAGTTTGAGGTTGCTGTGAGCTGTGATGTCACAGCACTCTACTGAGGGCAGCATGGTGAGACTCTATCTCAAAAAAAAAAAAAAAAGATTTCCTTTCTTTCTGGGTTAACATTTCTCTTTCGTCTCCACTGACTTCTCCTAGGCCTTCCTTCATTGGATGTGTAAGCTTTTGAAAAGCTACAGCTTGGCCAGATAGAAAAGGTACTCACAGGTTTGGCTGGACATGGTGGCTCATGCCTATAATCCTAGTACTTTGGGAATATGAGGTGGGAGGATTGCAGAATATTGCAATATTTTATTGGGGTGGGGAAAAAAAACACAAGGAGTTTGAGACCAGCCTGGGCAATATAGCAAGACCCCATCTCTAGAGAAAAGTAAGAAAAATTAGCCAGGCACAGTGGTGTGTACCTATAGGCCTACCTACTGTGGAGTCTGAGGTGGGAGGCTTGCCTCAGTCCGGGAGTTTGAGGCTGCACTGAGCTAAGATGATGCTACATACTCCAGCCTGGGCCACAGAGTGAGACCCTGTTTTATCAAAAGAGAAAAAAAAAGTGCTTAGTGTTACAGAGAGATGGGAAATGTGAGGAATGAGATGATACCCAGAGGGGAAGTGGATGATTTTTGCTTTTTTTCAAGTCCTGGTCTTGTCCTAAGGAATTCTTCTGGCAATGCAGGTGGAGAACTTGGTGAGAAATGGGTTGGCTAGATCCTGGGTCCCGAGTATACAGCACAGAGCTGACACATAACAAGCCTGCCACAGAGGGATGTCTGGTTGCTGGCAGGGGTACTTAGGCAGGGTGTGCACCTCAGTTGGCCAGTGCCTCAGACACAGCTATGTAAAACCAGAAGGAAGCCTTCAGGAATGCCTGGGAGCTCAGAGGAAGTGGGAATGGAGAAGGTAAATGCTGGAAGTACAGAGGCAATGGGGTGGGGGTAGGGGCTGAGACAAACAGTGATTTGGAGAAGCAAAGCTCATGTGCCCCATTAGAGAAGCCCCGTTAGAGAAGCCCCATTAGAGAAACAATGATTTGGAGAAGCAAAGCAGTGCCCCATTACAGAGCTCAGAGAAGTCTTCCGGAAAGGCAGTTTCCATGTGGCTGGAATTGTGTTAATTTGCTAGGGCTGCAAGACAGGGACCACAAACTGGGTGGCTTTGGTCAACAGGAATTTATTCTCTCCTGGTTCTGGAGATTAGAAGTTTAGAATCAAAGTGTTGATAGGGCCCTCCTCGCTCAGAGAGCACTAGAACACCCTGTTCCATGCCTTTCCATCAGCTCTGGTGTCGCCAGCAATCTCTGGTGTTCCTTGGCTGACTGACAGAATGTTGGAATGTTTTATTGGGGTGGGGGGAAAAAGCAAGGCAAGAGGCAGTATCGTGAGTGAGAGTGGGCAGGAATGGGGATACAAGCTTTCAGGGAGGCCACTCCAGCAAGCCTGGGTCTGGATTCAAGCGATGCTTGAACTGTCTATCAAACACGCTCCCTAGAGATGAAGAGATCAACATCCTCTTTGCAAACCCCTTGGATGTCCATTATCTCAATTGACCTTATACATAATGGAAGAGAGATTACCTTCCAGCATATTGCATTATATCATTACAAAGGCAGAACAGAGCAATTAAAAAACTGAATGCAGTTTTATGACCATCTGGGTATTGTTACCATCTTCATAATCATTAGATCAGTGCAAGAGATGTATTAATTTGTGGCACAGGAAGCAGAAGGCAAAAAAGTGTATCATCTATGGCAGCTCATGGTCAGCACCATATGCATATTAGCTTAGCATCAGAAATACCAGTAATTTGAGAAACAAAACAAGACAATTCCCTACTGTTTTAGAAAATAGGGTGGTTGGCCTTAGGTGTCTTTAGGTTTGCAAGATATTTTTAGGCTGGGTGCAGTGGCTCATGCCTGTAATCCTTGCGCTTTGGGAGGCTGAGGTGGGTGGGTTACTTGAGCTCAGGAGTTCAAGACCAGCCTGAGCAAAAGCGAGACCCTATCTCTACTAAAAAAAAGAAAAAAGTTCACTGGGTGTTGTGGCAAGTGCCTGTAGTCCCAACTACTCGGGAGGCTGAGGCAAGAGGATGGTCTGTGTTCAAGAGTTGGAGGTTGCTGTGAGCTGTGATGACTCCATGGCACTCTACCCAAGGTGAAAGAACGAGACTCTGTCTCAAAGAAAAAAAAGAAAAGGAAAAAAAAGGAAATAAGATACTCTTAAAAGATTTTGGGATTGACACAGCAATTGCAGATCCTGTGATCTGAGGGCAATCCTCACTTGTGGAATCTTATTTTTCCCTTATAGAAGCCTGTCCTTGTGACCAAGTGGAGCTAGAACACTTTTCACCCTTAAAAAAGCCAATGAGATTAGCTACTGTCTCTCCAAGTGGTTGGTCATCATAGCTTTGGCTTGTATTTGTCACGTGGAAATGTTCATACCAAGAAGTGATTTGATGTTAAATGCCCATGTAGTACTTCTCTGCAGCAGGCTCCAACGTCTTTCTGTTTGCACTTGATCTTTTGGGGAGTGATGTAAGAGTTCTCCCTTCTCTTCTCAACCCCACCTTGAAGTCTCAGCCTAAACTGCAGAATAGATTCTTTCTGAATATTGGAATCAAATAAGGCGACGGCCACCATTTTTTTTTTCTTTTTGAACTGACATCAGAGTGAGAAGTCCCTTTTACACTGATTCCGTACACATCTTTCTCTGTCTGTGGGTATCTGTATTCCCAAAGATATATTGCTTTGTTTGAGGAAACATCATCAAACCTTTGCTATGTGTGATATAGATTCTGACAATGACTATTCTATTTCATTTAAAAACAAAATGCTGGTCCAGTCTGCAGATTGAGAAATACTGTGGTAAGATGCACCTAGTTTCAGTTGTTTGACATTCAGATTAGCATCAGTTAGGAAAAATTGGTTTCTTAATTTTACATATTGGTCTTGACATTTCGTATAGTGTTGGAAGTTTAACCTTGAAGGGTAGTTTTTCCCTTGAAAATTGTTAAGAAAGTCTGCATCAGGCTGGGTGTGGTGACTCATGACTAATCCTAGCATTCTGGGAAGCTAGGGTGGGTGGATGGCTTGAACTCAGAAATTCAAGGCCAGCCTGAGCAAAAGCAAGATCCCATCTCAACTAAAAATGGAAAAAACTAGCTGGGCATTGTGGTGGGCACCTGTAGTCCCAGCTAGTCGAGAGGCTGAGGCAAGAGGAACTCTTGAGCTCAAGAATTTAAGGTTGCTGTGAGCTATTATGCAATGGCACTCAACCCAGGGTGATAAAGTGAGACTCTGTCTCAAAAAAAAAAAAAAAAAA